TTTACGCGTGTACAGCAGCTTTGGGACACGCATGGCAGGAGCTGTATGGTTCTCCAGCTCGCTCCGCGAAGCACCAGATGTTGAATCTCCATGGAAAAACTCTCCGCGGCGTCGCCGTTGACATTAAGCCACAGGGACTCCAGGAGTCTTTGCCATGCACAACACTTTGAGCTGGGCGTGTTCTTCCGCGCAGGCTTTGCCTCGCAGAAGCCCTTCTTTGGCTGAGCGGATGAGAAACGAACTCGATTGGCAGTCACATGATGGAGTGGCTCGTTCATAAAGAACGCGAAGCCATATTGGTGGCAAAATGGTATGCGCAGCAGAGCCATGTCCACTAATTATGGGCCATGATACTCCTCGTTCATGTGGCACTGCAACGCCTCCTCTTTCTGCCCTGCTGTTGCCCGTGGGTTGGTTTCGTTCGCTCAAGGTCGGCGGCACTGTCTGGCGTCCAGAGTGGGCTTTCTGTGCATAGCGTCTGGGCTGGGGCATACTCAACCCTAGTGAAAGTGAAACGTGTCGCCGGCCCCCAAACGCAGCAAGTGACGGTCAGGTCAGTTCGGCTTTTGCCATACCCGAGACCCAACACCAGCGCGCGTGTGCCAATCCCCTCGCGCCCTACTCGTCAGCTTCTCCAAGCTGCCAGAGTACATCAAGAGGCCTACACACCTCCCTATGCCCATGATGCCTGCGCCGTCGCTCTCCATCCAGGTGCATCCCAGCCTACAAACCGTCTACGTCCGTATGAAGGACCGGTCGGGCACCGTCGCTATCGATATGACGCCCTCTCTGCTGTCCCCCAAGGAGCTCATCGTGCGCTTCCACGAACAAGCGTTCGGCAAGAGCTTCGCAGCCTTCGCCGCCAATTCGAGTCTGCTAGCTCGACGCCGCAATGAAGAGACGCTTGTTACCAGTCTCAACGATCTGCAGGACGGCGAGGTGCTGGTCTATAAGCCTTGCGAGGAGCTACGCACACTCGTAGAACAGGGATGTATCACCCCCGTGCTCGCCACACACTCCCCAGTAGTAGACGTGAGTCCGTCCAGCTCCCCGCTTGGTTTAAAACGCAAGGGACGCGCCAAATCCGTGACCAACAACGTCGAGCGAGTGCACCGGTACGCGTCCGATCTGGCCAAGATGGACGTGTCCCCTAAAGAGAGGGAACTCATTGAAGACATGCTCATTGTGGGCGACGAACAGGTCGTCGACGCCATGGAACAATTCGTCGTGCACCGGAACCCAGCGCTAGTGCGTCGGGTACTGCACGGCCCCGCTGCTAAGAAGAAGAACGCGGCATTAGACAATCTCTCGATGGATTTCTCCTCCATGGACATGCACTCGCCTGCCGTCCCCACATCCGGACACGACTTCAGCGACCCGTTCCTTGTAGGAGGACAGAACCCGTTCGTACGAGCCGCAGCGGACGCCGAACCGCAGCATCCGTCCATGATGAACGTAGACGACCACACTGCGACGGACGGAGGACGTCCGTCGCTCCTGTTCGATGACGCGCTGTCCAGTCCGCCTATTTTCCTGCAGTCTATTAAGGAGAAGGTGACACCTCCATCCGGACAGTCGGCACGGATGTCGTTGTCGCTGTCGAACGATCTGGACCCAAGTAGGAACGCACAGACGCCCACGCAGCTCTTCTCAGTGGAGAAACTGCTGGACAATGTGCCCGTCGCGCGCAATTTCCACGAAAAATACACGGTGGGTGCAGTACTAGGATCGGGCAAGTACTCGGTGGTGAAGCGGTGTACCAAACAGTCGACGGGCGAGCAGTTCGCAGTCAAGATCATCGACAAGCGACAGATGATCGAGGTGCGTTTCCTCAAGAGGGAGCTAGAGATTATGTATGGACTACGGCATGACGGAGTCGTCCGACTTACGGAGCTATTCGAGAGCAACGAGAGTCTCTTCCTGGTTATGGAGCTGTGCGGACAGGAACTGTTCGAATTTATTGACCGGAACGGGCCACTTCCCGAGTCCACCACACGTCCACTTATCCGTAAACTCGTGCGTACAGTCGCGTATCTGCACGCACAGTGCATCGTACACCGCGACATCAAGCCGGAGAATATTCTACTACCTCCAAACAGTCAGGACATGAGTGATATTAAGCTCTCGGACTTCGGAATTGCGCGAAAATTGGACGGACATGGTCACGATAATGTACTTACGCCACATGAAAGTCTGTCCGAAGTGGCAAACCTGCACGACGCGCCGGCGACGAGCGCCACGGGCCTGCCGTCAGCCACGGATATGGTACGTAACCGGATGGCACGAGCACACACCAAGTGCGGCACACGCGACTACATTGCGCCTGAAGTTATGAGCGGCAAAGGTTACGGCACTGAGGCTGACTTGTGGAGTGTGGGCGTAGTGACGTACGTGCTCGCCAGTGGCTGTGCGCCCGTGTTCCTGCCCACTGCTGAAGGTGTCAAGAAGGTGTTCTTCGCCGATGAAACGTGGAGTGGGGCGTCCGAAGACCTTAAGCGGTTCATCGAGGCGCTACTGGTGCGCAACCCGGAGAAGCGGATCACTGCCGCTGATGCGTTGGAACATCCGTGGCTTAAACAGTAAAGGGATTCCAAATTGTTAGCTGTCAACTTAGAGCGGAGAGAAGTTACGAGTGTTAGCATAGCTTTTTTATCAAGAGACCGAACCAAATACTATGTATTAAAGCAGCGACCTGAGCTCTTGTCCATTCTAACCTGGTAGTCTACTCCTCGTCCTCTTCGTTGTCCTCCTCGAACTCCTTGATGATCTCGGGGGTGGCCTGTACCAGCTCCACCATGGTGGGGTTGTCGCACAGGTTGAAGAACTCGACGCTGCCGTCATCGCTGGGCGGGATGACCAGCACATCGTGGCCCTCGGGGCCCTTGACGACACCCTCGCTCGTGTACGGTACCTTCTCCTGCTTGAGGTAACCCTCCACCTCGTTCAGCTTGTCTACCCACAGACTGATGAAGTTGGGGTGGCCGAAGCGGTTGCGTAGAACGCGGTTCTTGTTCTTCTGGTCCGATTCCACACGCGTAGGGTACTCCCAGTCCTGCACTTCGAGGTCGCGTACGCCTACGATGCGGAACGGTCGCTCGGCAGTGTCCTGTAGCAGCAATAAACCAATAAAAGCGTTAAAAGAGCTGCCCGATGAATGGATTGATACATTGGCTTCTATCAATTGTAGACAACGTACATCCTCGTCGTGCTCGAAGTGGATGGGACGCAGCACCTGCTTGGACGCGTCCGCCTTCTTAGCGAAGGCACGTGTCGCCTGAGGGCGCACGAAAGCAGCACGAGAGCGAAGAGCGCGGCGCAGCATGACGATAAGTTGATGTGCGGCGGTCAGGCCACTCGTTATATGGTGTAGTTCACACAATTGTTATTAGTGTAACCTTCATCTCCAGGGGGTACTCCCTCATTTATTCCAATAGTAATGGCGATGGATGGGGCCGCGCTCAAGCAGCTCCAGGCGACATGCTCGTCGCTTAAGGAGGAGATGACGGCTCTGTATGAGCAGCGAGGAGGGAGGAACTCAGACGAGGCGCGTCTGAAGCAGCGGCGGTGGCGTGTGCTGCTTCTCCTCAGCGCCATGAAGAGCGGTCTTCGTGATACATTTTTGGAGGCGGATTCTCGCCGTACTCGTGTCCAAGAGCAAAAGGACGTGGCGGAAGCGCATCAGCTGCAGCTACAGAACCTACTCTACGAGAAAGATCACCTACTACGCGAGATCCGACGCTGTAGGGGCTTCAGCACCAAAGAGATGGACAAGATCGAGTTCGCGGACGGGCCGCTCCCCATTAAAGTGGACCCGGACGTGCATCGCCAGCATCTGGACCAGCTCACACAAGAGCTACATGCCCGTAAAAGGCTACAGACTGAGCTTAAGGAGCTTAAGCTGAAGATCGCGAAGGTAGAGGACGCTACAGAGACCAAACAGGCCTTCTTGAACGCTCTACCCGACCATTTAGCGGGTATTGAAGCTGCTACCACTGGATTACAGAAATATATGGGAGAACCAGTCACTGCGCAACGTAACAGACACCAAGCAGCGGGGACAGAGCTGCCAACGCCACTGTATGCTCTCTATTGCGAACTGGAAGCCTATCAAACTGCAAGTGGAGAAGCAGGCAAGCAGCTACAGTTGGAGATCGTGGACTCTATCGGTGTAAAGCACACTGGTGCGTACCGTAAGCGTGGATTCCCTGCAGCTTTAGAGCGACAGGAGCATACACCTGCTAAGAGACTGAAGGCTCCGTCCCGCTCACCGTCTGCTAGTGTCAATACAGCAACTCCACCTCAGAGTCGTGCGCCGTCCCGTTCGCCGTCGATAAAGCGTGGAACTGACACTTCAGCAGAACCAGAAAGCGGAGAAATCGTGGCTACACACACAGCCGAGAAGCTCCTGGAGCTGCGTCCGCATGAAGAGACGAAGGAAGAAACGGAAGTTAAGGAGCAGGACGAGAGCACTGATGCTACAACTCCAGTTCAGAATCTATGGAAGCCTTACGCGAAGGCTCTGCAGTTGACAGTATCTGTTTCAGCTCCTCTGGATACTGACAAGAGCGGGAATGCAACCAAGACCGTCTCGGGATCGTTCACTGTGATGTTCCAGTACTTCCCTGTGGCCAAAATGGTCACTGCCGAGGTCGTCAAGACTGTTTCTGGTAGCTTGAACCACGGCATTCAGCGTACTATCCTGATGAATTTGTTCCCTGGTGACGATGGCTTAACTGTGCCTCAACTGGTCGTCAACTACGCCTTTCAAGAAGACGTGGAGCAGAGCGAGGTGGAGTTCCCTGCGAACGCTACGTGTCGTCCGTACTATTGGGCACAATGGATCTGTGGTCTGGACCCCATGAAGCGTCCAGACTCTTCCGATACAACTGAGAAGCCTCGTCGACCAGAGCCGTCAGTTCGTAACGTTATGAACCAGTTGGTTAAACGTTTCGTATCAACAGTGGTGTTGAAGAAGCAGTTGGATCAGTTGACCAAGTCACGACCGGAAGATGAAGGCTTGAGTTTTGTGCACCCATTGGCGCGTCATCTCTTCCCACATGAAGTGAAGTCTCACCTTGAGGAGTGGAAGGAGATCCCGACACCAGCTCAAGACATGTTCCATCTGTTCAGAGAGAGTGCAGCTCCATCGACTCGTCCTCGTGCTCGGTTCCATCTCGAAACCACAGGTTGTCGGTACTTCCGTGTTGGCTTTAAGAACGGTCAGGCAAAGGTGTCTGCTATCGTCGAGATCTCGCCAGAGTATCCTGTACGCGCCCCACGATTCCTCTTCCAACCTCGCTCGACAACGAGCAGTAAGGCGATGGACAAGGATCAACTTCCCGTTTACGAGAACCAACTGAAGGTAACGTTTCTGTTTTGCATCAGTTGATAATTTTTATCATGTTAACTGATGTTTTGTTGGTTAACAGGAAGTTGAGGTCGAGGTTAATGCGTACTACGACGAGTTGATCCCCAAGGGTAGCGAACATTTCTTGCTGCTACACCAATTCCGCAAGATCGAAATGTGCTTCGACGTGCTGTGCAATGCCGCCGCTGACGGTGACGCCGATGTGTCACTGTGCTTTGGTCGTGAACGTCGCGGCAAGGACCGTCGTCAAGCTATGGTGATGGACACTGCAGCCAAGGAGCTACGTCACAGATAAGAACAAGACTTAACAACAGGAGTGGTTTGCATATAGTTTATATCAACGTTTAAGCAGCTGTTGTAGCCAAGTTGAAGAGCTACGACGACGTCTGCTTCTTCTTGGTGAGCTGCACAGTCTCGCGCTTAAGTACGTGCAGTAGAGTCTGCGAGCTCTCGAGGATCTTCATGTAGGCGGCCTCTGTCTCCTGGATGGTGCGATCGTACTCGTTACGCGCTTGTGTTTTCCTGGCCAGCGCTTCGTTGATCTTGCTGAGTCTGTCGGTGAGGATGGTCAGGTCTTTCTGGATCTTGGCCTTCTCCTCCTCCTCCTTGAGCATCGCACGATTCACCTCCTCACGCTTCTCACGCAGATCCTCAATACACTTGACCAGCTCATTGTTGTAGTTCTGCAGCGTTGCACCTTGTTGAGCCATGGCGACGGACGGACTGCAGCGGTAGAAGATGAAGACACGAGCACTACGCGTCGCATCCGTTACAAACTTGAAGTATTCCTGGACGTGACTGTTAATGATTTGTAGCCATGCTCTATAACTGCAAACTGCTCTCCAACTGTAAAGATATGTAGCCCTGTTCTACAACTGTAGCAAGTCACTTCAACTAGAGCATTCAGTTGCGCTATGACATCGTCGTAACGCACTCGTGCTGAACACTAGAAGTTACAGCTTTCCGTTCCTATGGTCAAGTGAGTGCAGTTCATTGGATTTTTACTGAGAACACCTTACGTCATGCGAAAGGTTCGCACCGAGAAAGCAAAGGAATCCCGCCGTATCTTGCTGCTTGATGCAATCACCTCGTGCACCCACTGGACAATCGCATGGGGTTCGTGTGATTAAAGCCACCAGACTGGACAGTGTCAGTGCTCTTTGAAGAAGAAGAAAACGGCAGGGGCCATTTGCCACTTAGTCGCAGTTGAGGTGCCACTAGGAATCATCCCCGTTCCACGTGACTAACGTGCGCCGTCTCTTCTTGGGAAGGTCTCAGTTGGGTACAGGGCGAGCAGTTCGCAGTCAAGATCATCGACAAGAGA